CCGGGGGTTGCTGTGATGTTGGGAGGGGGGCTGTGGGGCCGGGAGGTTGCTGTGGGGCCATGCTGTGGGTTGGGGTCCCACCACGGGTCGGGGTTGCGCTGCGGGTCGGTGTTGCCCCACGGGTGGGGGTCCGGCTGTGGGTCTGACCCCCCCGCCGTGGGTCTGCCCCCCAGGAGCAGGCCTCGTGGGTGTGCCGCTGCGAGGCGGGGGTGGTGCAGCGGCTGGAGCAGGACTTCAAGGCGACGCTGCAGCAGCAGCAGTCCCTGGAGCAGTGGGCCCTCTGGCTCGACGCCGTCGTCGCCCGCGTCCTCAAGCCCCACCTGGGCTCCCCCGCCTTCCCCCGCGCCGCAAAGCTCTTCCTGCTCAAGTGGTCCTTCTACAGGTGTCTGTCACCCTCTGCCACCCCCGGGATGGGAAGGGGACAGTGTCACCCTCTGCCACCCCCGGGATGGGAAGGGGACAGGGACAGGGACACCCTCTGCCACCATGGGGACAGGAACACCCGGGGACCAAGGGGATGGGGACAGGGACACCCTCTGCCACCATGGGGACAGGGACACCCTCTGCCACCCCCGCGATGGGGAGGACACAGGGACACCCTCTGCCACCATGGGGACAGGAACACCCGGGGACCAAGGGGATGGGGACAGGGACACCCTCTGCCACCACCGGGATGGGGACACCCAGGGACCAACAGGATGGGGATGGGGACACCTTCTGCCACCAGCACCATGGGGACAGTGACACCCCAGGGGTCAACAGGGGACCAATGTGATGGGGACAGGGAGACCCTCTGCCACCACCAGGACTGGGACAGGGACACCTGGGGGCTACAGGGATGGGGGCACACGGGGACCAACGGGACGGGGACACCCTGTCACACCCCGGGACAAGGACGGGGACACCCTGGCCCTGCCAGTGATGGTGACAGAGTCCTCGGTGGTGACACCCTGTCCCCAGGGGTGACAGCGATGCCGTGTCCCACTCCACACGGTGACGGTGACACCGAGCCACCCCCTGGTGACACCGTGTCCCACCCCGTGCCTGGTGACAGTGTCACCGTGTCCCCCCCCTGGTGGGGTGGCAGCGATGGGGTGGCGGTGTCCCCCCTGTCACGGTGTCCCACCCCGTGCCTGGTGACAGTGTCACCGTGTTCCCCCCGGGGGGGTGGCAGTGATGGGGTGGCAGCGATGGGGTCGCGGTGTCCCCCCCCGTCGCGGTGTCCCCCCCGTGACGCTGTCGTGTCCCCCCAGCTCGATGGTGATCCGGGACCTGACCCTGCGCAGCGCCGCCAGCTTCGGCTCCTTCCACCTCATCCGCCTGCTCTACGACGAGTACATGTACTACCTGGTGGAGCACCGCGTGGCCGCCGCGCGCGGGCAGAGCCCCATCGCCGTCATGGGAGAGGTGACACGGGGGGGACACGG